GGTCACCTTCGATATCTTAAAATATTCAGATAAAGAACTTTCTCGCATATTCGCTGCGGGCGTGCGCGGCTCTCATAAATCTACTTATATCTGTTATGTGGTGACTGTACGTCTCGACTTTCATATACCCATAATGCCTTGCGTTTTTGGGGGTAACCAATCAAAAAACTGTCCCAAATTGAAAGGTTTCTTAATTGAATTTATACTATACCTGCTTTTATCTGTACAATACTGATTATCAGTTTATTCCAAGTTATTTTTGCGTGTACAGATCATCGAGAGTTTTGGTCTTAGAAAATGTATTGACTTACGAAAAAATGTTTAAAATTTACCTTAAACGTCTTCAAGCTTCTATCTTTTTCTGTTTTTTTTAATTCTTCATTTTATCTTTGGATACCAAACAAGGTATTTTCAACATTGTCTGATCAGCCTTCAGCAAAATAAGTGGGTTTTTACCCTCTGGTTACCCCCCAAAGACGCAAAGGATTGTGGGGATGTGAAAGTCGAGAATGGGAGTAGTTTGCTTTCGTGGTACCCTGCGAGCAGAGGTTTTTTTCTGACCCTCCGTGGGCTGGCTGCTCGGGGAGAAAAAATACTGCCCAACCAGCCAGACCACGGAGGGTCAGAAAAAAACCTATGTTCGCAGGGTACTTTAGTGGTGGATGCGTGTGATATCTATATATACTCAACATATCTTTTACACCGTCACATATTCACTATGAATAAATGATTTATTTACATAATATTTTAATTAATATACCTTAGATATCTACCTTGTATCAATAGTAGCATGATATTCGTATTGATATATTTTTTGATATCAGATTTTATATCAGCTCGAATGAATTTATAACGAGTCTTTGGCTCACTGAACATAAGTTACCTATTTAACTATGGTACTTCATGTATGGTACAAACACGTGGATCACCAAATATGATTATTGGTAGGAATAAGTTAATTTACCATATACGACGTTCCTACCTTCTGGCAATAAATAAGATAATTTTTATAGCAATGCTAGTCAGATCAATACTGAACAACTTCATAATCGGATCTACAGTAAGGGACCATTCATTATTTTAAAACACCAGCTAATAGCAAGATACCATGGTCTGTAGTTGATAGTTATTCTAGAGCAGTTTTCGTATGACTGTGAAAAGCTCACGGCACGAACACGTTCTTGACATGGCTAGGGATACGCCAGACCAATCACATTGCTCGAGAATTCACTCTCCATCCAATCAAATACCCAGATCACGGCATAAACACGGCGCGGACACGGTCATGCCAAAGTCACGGCACTTTCAGACCAATCACATTGCGGGAGAAAAAAATCAGCCAATAAAATTCTAGAAAACATCACGGTCACGGCACGTCACGCTTACGACACTGAGCTTTTCACAGTCATACGAAAACTGCTCTAATAGTATAAGTATCAACTATTTTTTGTTTGGTTAGGAGTTTCGGGGGCTCAAACAAAATGGCGGATTTTTGAATTTTTAAAAACCTGGCTACGCCCCCGCATGAAATCGTAAATCATCAAGACCGCGGCTGTTATCTTTTGAGAAAGCAAAATCAATATATATTCTTTGTTGATAGACCCGACCTCTACATTACGGACACCTCTATATTACGCATACCTCCATATTACGGACACCTCTGTAAGCGGACAACTCTATAATACGGACACCTCTATATTACGAACACCTCTATATTACAGCTTATTACGGTAACCTCTATATTACGAACACCTCTATATTACAGCTTATTACGGTAACCTCTA